CGCACCCTGGCTCTCCCTGCTGCCATCGCCGCCACCATCACTGGTACTGGCATACCCGCTATTGGCACTGGAAATTCATTCAGTGCAGAACAGTACCTGCACTTGAAATCCTGGCAAAAATGGACATCGAGCGGCCAGAGTGGGAGCACCAAGAACAGATGGGGCACCTCTGCCATACAGCCGCCTGCCGGCATTGTTTGGGCAGATGGAACATGGGCAATGGAGCCCATTCCCTGTACTAGGTCAGAACAATCAAGCCACTGCCAGCAGCTCGCCCAGCCGCAAGGCCATGGAGCAGAGGCTGCAGCCAGAGACAGGAACAAAACACTATTCAAATCACCCCAGACTCTCGTATTGCTCAATTGGTCATTCCTTCTTTGACAAAAATTTCAAAATTATAAATAAAAAAGATATATTGGGTTAAAAAATAGAAATTAATTATTTAAAGCAAAAACATTTTAAAGGGCTTTTAGACACAAGTGCAGATGGACTCCAGGTGTGGCAACTAGAGGTCCACAATAACAAAGGTGCTAGATTGATGGCCTAGAGGGACGCAAAGGCAATTCCTTTTCACAGGGAATAAAGCCTCACAGGGAATAGAGCAGGTTTTAAAAGGGAAGCCTTTACACCTTCCCCTTAAGGTGATTAATTTAAAAGGTTGTTTCCATCCACAAGATAAAAACAGTTTGCCTTTAGTTTAAAAAATGGTATTCCCTAAGGTTTACCTTAATGGAGATATTTTTAAGATTACTTAAAGATAATTCCCATAAATAAAAACTTCGCCCCTTTTTTTTTAAAAAAAATGTATATTTCAGTGATGGCTTTGATCTTCTAGAGTTATAGTCAAAATTTTCCTCATTTTAGCTTATACAGCTAATAAAACTGTCTTATTTTAATTACAGTCTTCTTCTTGACATCATATACAGGATATGCTGCTGATTTAAAAGGTTTTATAACTCTTTAGAGCTCACATGATTCCTGGTGAGGTTGACTGCCTGTTTTACAGTCTTAAATTTATTTGATATAAAAAAGTTTTGATACTTTACAAAAGGTATAAATGTTTGGAGTACAATGTAAAAGCAAAGGGGCTTAAATAGTCGCTTGATTTTGACATCCTATTTAAATAAGGGCAGGCCTAGGTGGTAGCCTCCAAAGGGTACAAGCTATGATAACTATTTCATATTTTGGTTACCTTATCCTACAAAGACAAACTACCTCAACCTGTTCAAATCAATCTAAAATGATTTTCAGGCTTTATTTGGTTATATTAATTGGCTCCATCTAGATTTGGGGCTAATTTCTCTGGTGTTATTAATTGTCATTATCCTTCAGACAACTTAATTCATTTTGCTTCTCTTTTCACAGATAGGCCATCTTAGCATAAGGGAAGCTATGTGATGGCTTCCTCTTCCAAAAATAAGAAATGGGCTTCTCACTGTATGATCAAAATTCAATTACAAAAACAAAAGGGAGAATCTTTCCCTATGAAATTCACACCTCAGCTGTGTGTGGTAGTGCACACCCGTAATCCCAGCACTTGGGACACTGAGGCCAGAGGACTGTTGTGAGTTTGAGACCAGCCTGGGCTACAAAGTGAGCTCAAGGCAAGTCTGAACTACATAGCTAGACCCTGTCTCAAAAAGACAAAACAACAACAAAGAATTCACATCTCATAATAGACTTCACTTGTCAATATATACTATTAAGTTTTTAAAGATTTACAAAAGATGGAAGTACAGCAGAAGAAAGACAATTCAATCAGGTAAAGCAACAAGAGCTAATTTGGTATCAAGGATATATTTGTGTTTTGCTAGAGCATGCTGTCTGGCTGTATCACGAAATCAGATCTTGAGAAAAAGTTGACAAGAATAATACTAGATCTCACCTGGGGCCTATTAAAGAAATTGACCCAGAATGGCCAGGACATTGGTAACTAAAAGGGAAATCAAAGGTCTGAATAGGTGATAGAGTATACAGAGAAAAATGAGCTGAAAGTTACCAGTGTTCTTAAGACAAAATAAAATATAAAAAATGTATATTAATTATAGATAAAATATTATATTCCTTCCAAATTTTTCTGATGAGCAATCTCTGCTCAATGATAAGTAACAAAATCTGACTAGACTATTTATAATTACAAATTTCTAAAATTGTACTAGAATTACTATAATTCAATTTGGTCAAAATGTATTTGAGTGCACTCTGATTTTGTAAAGATATTTGCTTGTTTGTTTGTACTGTGTATGCTTGTCATTCGTCTATTTGTCTGCCATTCCATGAATAGCTGTTCCCTTTTTATTTGAGCTCAATACTTTTTCTCATTTGTTCATAATATAATTTGGGTTATAGACTTAAAAGCATGCTTTCACCTGAGTTATCAGCTGGTCTAAGTAATATCAAAATTGGCTTTCCTCACAGCTCATAAAAAAATTTAGGATAATGAACAAAACTTCCCTAGAGTGGGGACAGATTATTGAACAAGACTCCAGTTGGTGAATAGAGAAGTGGTCAACCTTTGTTCATTAATAAGGAGCCCCTAATAATCTCCATAGTCTCTTGGGAAATACCCTAATAATTTGGTCATTGATCAAAAGATAAAGTCTTTCAGGAAAAATTACAATAAAGTTTTCCCATAAAAGATACTCTTGATATTAAACTAAATTAAGAAACAAAGGTTTTCACATGTGTATGGCAATACATTAGTGTTAATCCCATGGTGTATTAAATGTATTCATGATTCTAGATGTACAGGTTTTCCAAACTGTAACACAAGGATTGCTTATTGTGATGACTTTTCTTTCAGATTCAGAACTCTGCCTTTGACAAAAAAGTTGTGATTTACATCCCATTAAAGGACAAAATATTAGGTAAAAGCTTATGTATTAGATAGAGATGATTGGTTAAAGGGTTACTCTGTGTCAAAATGAAAAATTAGGGCTGGGGATTTAGCTCAGCGGCAAAAGCGCCTGCCTGGCAAGCGCAGGGTTGTGAGTTTGGTTCCCGGTACCGAAGAAAAACCAAAAAAAAAAAAAAAAAAGAAAAGAAAAATTAGGTATATGACCAAATGTCATCATGATGGTCATACTGCAATGTTATGTTGGTTTTGATTCCTAAATTTCTGTGTAAAAGTATGTAACTGTTGTCTGTTAAGGTTCTATAAGGATTTAAATATTAGAATATCCATGGTTGTTAGAAAATAATGGTTCTATTTTATATTCCAAGATGTTTAACATTCAGATAACATAATAATATTAACCTTACTGCCTCCTGACAGTGTAATGTCATTAAGCTCCTCTTCTGGATATTTATTTTAACAACTGAGATTTGGAGACCAAAACTTAGAAAGATCTATGGGCTAAGAGGACAGCCAATATTTTGGCCCTAGTCCTCTGAGGTCAGTGAGGACCCAAGACATAACAGAACCTTTGCTGCAACATTCTATAATTCAGTTGTGTCCCTAATCTTCTGATCAAGGAGACTATGGGACCACAGAGGAAAGTTATTCTGTGAGGAATAGTGTGCCTAAGGAGAGTCACCAGGAGAGAAAAAAAAATCTCTCAAGCTTTCCAGAAAGCAACTTGGTCAAGCAATGGCTGTGACTCATCCAGATGACTGACACTGACAGAAGATCTAAGAGGTGCTGTCCTTGGCTCCAAGGTAAATCCTGAGGAGACTTAACTGACCTTGATACATAGCAAAAGGTTGATTAATACAGGTCTCACCTTAACACAGTCTTGAACTTCCAGCAGAAAAGTGTAGCACAAGATGTATACAAAGCAATGCCATAGTAATATGTTAGCCGTAAAAGGTTCAAATCACCAAAACTTCTGCCAATTGCCAGCTAGACTGGTAACTGACCACTTTATGGATATTTGGACTGTACTCTCCAAGCACAGCTTTTCCAGCTTCAATTAAACACCCATCATTTATAAAACGGAGAGACATGTTAGGAGCCACTGGAGCTGGACATTGGTTATATGAGTAGAGGCAAGACAAAGCCACAGTGCCTAAAGCAGGCAAGCTAACTCAGTCTTGAGAAAAGCACCCTTCCTGGACAATTCAGTCAGTTACTCGGCAACCTTGTGTCTTGTGATACTAACTTTGCAAGGGTATAAATAAACGTACCTACTGTTGTTGTCCAGTCCTCTTTTCCCATCTGGTAAAGAGGCCTCCACCTGACCCAGCTCTTGCCTCTTGTCTATCTTTTCCTCATTCCTGCAGCCATTCCTCCCAGGGGTACACTGAGAGACCAACAAGTTCCTACGCTTACCTCAAGAGCCTTTTGCAACTCCTAGGTGGGCTTTTCATCCTAGGGATAATAGCTTAGCAACAGTACTACCATTAACATAGAAAGTAGAAGGTCTAATATATGCATATCCCAGACACTGTTATACACTTTGCGGAGATTACTTCACTTCATTCTTATAGAATCTTCTATGGGAAGTGCTATTTTCTCCCATTCTACAGATGAGGAAATCAAGGATTCATCCAATAAGTAACTTGTCCAATATCACATAACTCTAGGATGGCAGAGGCAGGATTTCAATCCAAGTACGTCTAGCATCAAACCTTTCACTTTCTTTCCGCGTGGATAGCCCCTTCCCCTCAGGTGTTTATGACTTCACCTCTATGCTTGTCCACATTGGAAAACTGGCCAGGAAGTCCAAAAGGTCAAAAATGTTAAAATGCGAATCACATACACTTATAGAACATTGACACTAGAAGATGCCAAACTGGCCGTCTGGGTGAACTTGGAAACCTCATGGGACAAGCATGGCATCCCAGGGAGATGGGGACACTGTGTTAAAGGCGGGTAGGCACCCCTATGTCACACGTGTCGGCTCGGAGAGCACCTTTGGGTGCAGCTCTGATATCGCACCATCTAAGAAGAGCCAGGCAGGACCTGGTGTCACGGGATGAGACAAGCTATCAACTACTTTGATGCCACCTGTGCCACAGTTAGAAAAAATGAAAACCAAGAAAACCACATCAATATTTACCTTTCGCTTTTTAATGGCTCCACTGGCCCCGGGAACAGCTTCACACAGGCGGCTTATCGCTTCCCTACAGAACAGAAACCGTAGAAAGACTTAGCACGTTTCCTACACACCATACGTGTTCAAGAAATGTCAGAAAACAGTACGGCCAAGGTGAACACAGACAGAAGATGAGGCCGACGTAGAGGACCTTCTTTTGCTCTGCAGCACTGCAGGAAGCATGCTGCTTACAAACCAAGAAGGACATAGCAACGCTCCCAACACAGAAAACTATTCTACAGCAAGGATACCCACTATTCACTTTATTCTCCCACTTCCCCCGCTACTTTCTGATTCATTTTCAACGGTACTGGAGATTGAATCCAGGGCTGTTGCACTGAACTACGTCTCCAGTCTTCTTATTTTTATTTAGAGGCAGGATCTTGTCAAGTTGCTAAATTTCCAAGGCAGGACTCAAACTTGCAATCCTCCTGCCTCAGCCTCCCAGCGTGCTGGGATTACAGATGTGCACCACCATGCCCCACTTCAAATAGTTTTTTGTATTGTTGATTTTTTTAGCCAAAAAAGAGAGGCTGACCTTTCTCACCCATCATGATTCTACCTTTAGCAAAATCCTCACTGCAGTGTTATAAATAAAAAACTTCATTGAAAAACTTAATAGTTCAACCCCAGCATTTGGGAAGCTGAGGCAGGCAGATTGCCTGGAGGAGGAGTTTGAGGCTAGCCTGGGCTACATAGTGAATGAGCTCAAAGCCACCCTGAACTCCATAGTGAGGCCGTCTCAAAAAAAAAAAAAACAAAAACAAAACAAACAAAAACCCTCAAAAGTATTTGAGCACCAAAGGCGATTAGATATAAATGAATCTGACAACAGAGGAAGTCTGAAAGGATCGCCTCAAGATGGGCTCAAATGGAGCCTTATTGACCAAGCTGCTGCCACCAGGTATTGAGCTTTCACGTAATTTCGCAGAAGAAAAGAAAATCAATATCAAATTTCCTCCTTTGCTCATTTTTCTGCCCGTCCTATATGTGCACTTCCTGAGAACAGCAGCAGTAAAATAAGTAGCTGGCCCTAATGGATGCGGTGGCGGAGGAGGAGGCATCCTCTCCTCCAGAAATGCAGATCTAACTAAAAGCTTTTGTCTCTGGGACCCGGAGCTTTCAGAACCAACGCTGTTCTCTGTGTAATCCGAGGCATAGCTTGCGGCTTTCCACCCATACATTACAACTTCTCACGAGCAAATGGAAAGTGCGGGCCTTCTCCCTGGATCCTTGGGGATTTCCGCTCAAATTAATAAACTGTACACACATAACCCACCATGCTGTGCTGTAGCTCTTAATATATTAGATGTTATGATGATATTTTCTATGAGATTTTTTTTATCCCCAAAGAAAGGGAGTTGCCATCAAAGTAAGCAATGCAGATGCATTACTAAAAGCTGGTTAGTGTAGGACGCTGAGCAAAACAGTGTTCTTCTAGAGGATGCTGGTGAAGTATGCAAATTCGCAAATTTCCACCTTTGCTTATGTCTTAGGTCCCGATCTCGTCTTTCTCTGGAGAAATGAAACTGTTTTTCAAGGTATTTTCTTGTGTGCTTTTTGCACATTTCCCAGCCACCGAAGGGTAGAATTGGTCTCTGGTTTGCCATATTTTCTCAGGAGTTGGTGTTTATTGTTTCTCTAGTACCCCAACCTTCGTTCTCTGAAGGAGAATACAGAAGGCTGGCTTTAGAAGCTCAGTGGTTTGATTGACGTTTTCACTCATTCTAGTGATTATTCAATAATAGATGAGACTGGCATCGTTGATCCAATCAGACCTCTGGTAATTCCAAAAACACCAGCCACACACCCCACTGTATTGATGGCATTTAGGTAAAAGCAGTATAAAAAAGGCAGATCTTTTACTTGAGGAGAGCCGTTCGGGGTGCGTTGTAAGTGGCTGGAAATAAAAGGAGAAACGAAAGCAGACACTGCTAATGCCAAACAGAGCAGTAATCGATGTGAAGAGAATAGTGTCTCCTCGCACAAATCTGAATGGGAGTTAGCACAGCAGCTTCCAGGAGGCTGAGAGAGCGGACCTTCCTGGCAGAGTGGGGCTGGGAATCCCAGACAGAGAAGAGCATGCGCAAACACACCAGTGCATCAGGCGTGCAAAGCGTGTAGTTTGACACTGCTGGAGCACAAAGGATGATATGAGCCTAGCACAATCGTGCACATCTGGCTGAGGCAGGAGGATTGAAAGTTCAAAGCCAGCCTGGGCAACTTACTGAGACCTTGTCTCATAAAAATTTTGTTTAATTTTTATTTATTTTATTTTATGTTTTTGTCTTTTTGAGACAGGGTTTCACTATGCAGTTCAGGCTGGCCTTGAACTCATTTTTCAGCCCAGGCTGGCCTCAAATTCACAGCAATCTTCCTGCTTCAGCCTCCCAAGTGCTGCGATGACAGGTGTGCACCACAGTGTCCAGCCTTAAAAAAGTTTTTTTGAAAGAACTAGACATGTGGCTCTCTGGAATTGTCCCTGCCTAGAATGTGTGAGGCTCGGTTCAATCCTCAGTACCTCAAATAAAAAGAGAGAGAGAGGTAAAGTGTGAAAGAGCAATAGTGAATAAGAGGTAACAGATGAAGCCGGGTATAGGGGTGCATGCCCTATACTCTGGGAGGCTGAGGCAGGAAGCTCGAAAGTTAGAGTTCAGCCAGGGGAATTTAGTAAGACCCTGTCTCAAAATAAAAAAGGTTGGGGATATAGCTCAGTGCTAAGGCCCCGGGCTCAATCCCTAGTACTGGGTGGGGAGACCCTGTTTGTGCAAATCTTGCTCAATTTTAAAGGGTCCACTTGCCCCGCACCACAGGAGCCCTGCTTAAACGCAGCCTCTCAAATTCTGCTTTCTTCACTGATAGCTGTGTGAACAACTCTGAAAGCCCAGCCCTGGACAAAGACAGAGGCCGGCATCTTGTCACTATTCTTCACAAAGATCTTTTCTGTCTCTGAGACTCCGGCCAAGGAATGAGGCCTTGCATTTTCAAGAACAAATGGTACTTTCAGGGCCGTTCGGGAGTCTGGGCCACACCCTCCCGCCCAAGGCACAGACTTTACAAATGCTGAAGGAAAAGAAAATAGGGCCGAGGGCTTGAAGTTCCAGTAGCAACTTCCCAGGAACCCAGGGAGGCACCTGCCCCTCGCCTAGCAACCTGTGTTTCTGCAGGACCCGCTCAGAGCCCTGAGGGTCCCTCCAGCTCCCGATGTGGGGCGGAGGTCCTGTCTTAGAGGAGCGGCATGTTAGGGTTCACACGGCTGAAGATTCCTGCCCCGGGAGCCTGTGCTAGAAGGAAAGTGAGAGAAACACCCAGCACCAACAGCGGTCACTTTGTTTATTGTTCCACCCCAAGGAGAGGAGTGGGCTGATGTAAGGGAAGGAGAATGCACTTGAAGATTTGCTTTTAAGACCATAAAGCCCCGCCTATGCTGTAAGACCAAAAAAAAAAAGATATTTTGTTGTCTGTTTTGTAACAGAGTTCAAGCCAACCATCTAACAAAGCCAGCTTTCTTCAGGAATACTCAGCCACTACAGTACTCAAATTATAATTTTTCTGTGTCTTTAACCCTTAAACAGTTAGGCTCCTCTGGAAGCAATGTTGCCCAACCGTTCCCCCCTTTTCTTTGGGTTTAGAGACTTTATCACAATCCTAGACAAAGTGGACCATTGAATGGGGGCGGGCTGCGCAGCGCCTCCTGGGAAAATGCGTCTCTCCGGTAAGTGGGAAACGCAGAGGAACGGGTAACGTGAGGCGAAGCAGAGGCCGCAGGTGGAATGATGAGAAGCAATGCTTCTCCTACCTCCCGCCCCGCCACACAGGCAGTCGCGCACACCCACACGCACACGCGCGTGTCCCAGTCGTGTCCAGGCAAATAGACATGAGAATAAAATTTTAATCACATTAAGAGCCTTTGCAAAAATCAAACTCGAATCTCCCCTGGCAAAACTTTCCCTAATTTCTGCTCTCCAACAGGAATCCTTAAGGAAATCCGCCCTCAGGGCTCAGATTGCTTTCCCCAGAGAGCTGTGCTTGGGGTGGGCCGCGTCCCGTTGCTCTGTCCTGCTGGGGAAAACCATACCATCTTTTTTGGAACCTTTGCCTGAAGGACATCAAGGCTGAGGGATCTATGTGTGCAGTTTTGGCCAGCTTGGTGAAACCAAAGCCGTCGAGGGACCTCAGGAACCGGAGCCAGCTTTCCTGGCGGCAGGCACACAATGCGTGCAGTCAGTGCCCGTCGAGCAGTGGAGAAGGAGAGCTTCCAACTCCCTTTGTGCCCTTATCAGGGGGCATCTCCAGGGCCCCGGAGGGGGCACCCCCAGCTCACAAAATGCACCCTTTCATCTGGGAAACCGGAGTCTCTGGCCCCAGGGTGGGCAAATAAAACTTTCACTGCTGCCCGCGGCATTTATTGACACACTGAGTCATCACGCCCTTCTGTCCCTCTAAGCTATATTTAAATCCGACTCTCAAGCACACTTGCCATGTGTCCCAGCTCAATGTTGTTCTGTCTACCCTTGGGGTGGGAAACAAACATGGACCCGTTCACCCCACTGGCATGAGGAGAAAGACCAGCTTATCCCAAGTGTTCTGTCTCCCTCCAAGTCTCCCTATTTCCCAGAAATTAAGTGCTGACGGTCCCTTAACCCCGCGATGATGTCCCATAGTAAAATCGCGTATTTGATATTCGAACACCTTACACTCACAGGCTGCCAGCTTATAGAATTTGTAAGTGGCTAAATCTGATGAAAATGACAATAAAGAAGAGTTGGTTTCATACAAAACATAATGGGATTCACCAATTCAAAAAACTATTTTCCTTTACTTTAGGGTAAGCCACACTTATTTAAAAAACAACTCTGTTTAGACAAGATATCCCAAATACTATAAAGGCGCGGGTTTTGGCATTAAAGATCACACGGATACTCAATGTGTTCCCTTGAGGTCAAAGCTTGTTTTCTTAAAAGCCAAAACTGATCTAACTTAATCAGCTACTTTATTCACCCCATTGTACTCTAGCTGATGTGTGCT